ATATATATATATGTCTTTGGTGTAACTTTTAAACATTCTGTCAAGGGTCTACAGATGAACAACAGACATTTTTGGCTAATTCTGGCACATTTTACAGAAATGCTTATTAATGTGCATTGCCCCTTATAAATAAACAAACTAAACCAAACTTTTATATGTTCGCAGTTTGAGTTTCCTCAGCTGATGTGTATATTGTGTGTGAATGCACAGATGCGGTGGCTCCTCATGTCCCAGTGGCCCCGCGGGACCCTTCAGCATGTCGCTCGGAGTCAACCCATCCGCCATCTGGAGCTGCAGAAACGCCGCTGTCCTCCAGCTCGTCCTCATCCCCGATGGCTCAGCCCAGCACAGGCCTCCACAGCCGCAGCAACAGCGCAGAGAGACTCCTCGAACCCGCAGCCGCCGCCACTGCAGACGACTACCACGACACGGACGGCACACGGCGGACTAGAGCTGTGGAGAACCAGTACTCCTTCTACTGATGCTCATACTGATCCGTCCACACCTGCTGCTGCTGCTGCTCTGATTGGCTACTGGATTTACATGCAGTAACACTCCTACATTAGACCAGCGGTTCTCAATTTCAGTCCTCATCATCCCTCGTCCTGCACATTTTGTATGGCTGCATCTGAAATCATTTACTACTCGAGTAGGTACTACATTTACTACACGACGCTTGGAAAAGTGTTCTCTATATAGTGTGAATGTGAGCATGAATGGAATTGGGATGTACTACATCCACTATTAGTCATTATCACATGATCGATCAGTTGCGTCGCTTCACTCCCATTCATGAATTCTCTGGCATTGCATCATGGGATAGTGTAGCATCCATCAGATGTGCACTTCAGAATCAAGCTGGAAGTAGTAGGTACTTCTCACCTACTGTTTTTTGAATTATGTTACTGCGTCAGTGTATTTACAGTAAATATTTCAGTGTGAACGCACTACTTACACTATTTATACTACAAAATGGCGTAGAATAGTGCATAAATATGCGATTTGGGATGCACCTTATAAATTCGAACTTAGTACTCGGCTCACATATTGTTTTTAGCTTACTATATAGTGGTGTTGTCGAGATATTGAATTTCGGTACGAATAAGTACTGAGATTTTAAAGACATCCGTTTTCCCGCTAACATTTGAGCGATGTTGAGTGGTTCTGAAACCGTGCAGATTTGCCATTATGTTCATGTGCTCAACAGAAATGACTGTGATTGGCCCTGAAGATCATCAGTTCACCAAACTCACCGCTGTTTACTGAGTGCAAAGATCAGTCGATTCACCAGCGGATCGCTTGTATGTCAGCTTATAAACAGCTTTATAACCGTTTCAGTGTCTGTATCTGTGGTTATACTCAGCAAACAGCGGTGAAGAGTGGTGAACTGATGACCTTCACGGCCAATCACAGTCCATGGCAAATAAGCCGTGTTTACAAACGTGCTCAACAGCGCTTAAATGTTAACAGGAAATGGAGGTTTTTAAAATCTCAGTACTGATTGGTACCGAAATTCATTATCGCGACAACACTACTATATAGTGGGGAAGTATGCAATTTCAGATGCAGCCTAAAGCTGCGGTCACACTGGGCTTTTCCTCCCATAGACTTTCATTCATACGCACACGAATGCGTCAGACCGGAAACGTAAGCTCATGCGTCAAGTTTCGCAGGTTGCTGCAGTGCAAAGTTCAAGCTTGCTGAACTCTGACCTGCAAAATCGCTTTACTTGACTGCGTGAGACCAATCAAGGATTAAAACATGACCTCTCTGGTCAAAAATTTCAAACATTTAGCAATCGCTCGCGTTTTTAAATGTCTAATAAGCTTGCCTAATCCCGCCCCTTTTCCCAGCTCCGCACGACAGAATTTCGCACACACAAACTCTAGTGTGACCGCAACTTATCTCTTCCTTACTTAACACACCTGATTCAGATCATCAACTCGTTAACTGAGAGATCCATGAACTGATCCTTGTGAGTCAGATAAGAGACACATACAAAATGTGCAGGGCGAGGGAGCCCGAGGACAGGAATCGGGATCCACTGCGTTAAAGGGGCAGTTCACACAAGAACGAAAATGTACACTGCAAACAAAAATGCTAGTGTTTGTCTTGTTTCTAGTCCAAGTATCATATTAGAAGCATTTTCTAGACGAGCAAAACATATAGAATTCTTGTGTTTAAGAAATAATTTGCCAAAATTTAGTGTTCAAAAAAAAAAAGCTGCACTGTAAAAAATGCTTTTCTTGCTTAGATTTTTTCGTCTTGTTTCTAGTCTAAATATCTGAAAATTCCTAAATCAAGAAGAATTTTCTAGACAAGCAAAACATATAGTCTTGTTTTGAGAAATAATATGCCAATATTAAGTGAGTTTTTCCTTAAAACAAGCAAAATAATCTGCCAATGGGGTAAGCAAAATAATCTTACATCAAAAGAAAAAACAAGATTATTTTGCTGACCCCATTGGCAGATTATTTTGCTTGTTTTAAGGAAAAGCTCTCTTAATATTGGCATATTATTTCTCAAAACAAAACAATATGTTTTGCTTGTCTAGAAAATGCTTCTTGATATAAGAAATTTTAGATATTTAGACTAGAAACAAGACAAAAAATCTAAGCAAGAAAAGCATTTTTTGCAGAGTAAATAGTTGGGCAATGGGGTAATTTAAATAATCTTATGTCAAAAGGAAATACTAGATTATTTCGCTTACCCCATTGGCAGATTGTTTAGCTTGCTTTAAGGCAAAACTCATTTCATTTTGGTGTATTATTTCTGAAAACAAGACTATATGTTTTACTTGTCTAGAAAATGCTTCTTAATTTAAGATTTTTTTTGATATTTGGACCAAAAACAGTGCAGTGTACTGACTATTTACTCCCCTTTAAGTTTATTTCTTCTGTTGAACACAAAAGGAGATATATTGAAGAATGGTGGCAACCTGTAACCATTGACGTTGTAAAAAAATGCTGGGCTCCACACAATTGATTTGTGTTAGAACAACAACATTGCTTTTCCGGGGCTGAGTCGTGGGGACAGCAGTCTTAGGAGAGAACCCCAGACTTCCCTCTCCCCAGACACTTCCTCCAGCTCCTCCTGAGGCGTTCCCAGGCCAGCCGAGAGACATAAGCCCCTTTCACACATACTTGCCGGCAATTTTCCGGAAAGGTTGTATGTGTGAACAGGCCCTTTTTGAAAATACCGGTAAATTCGTTCTGGCAATTTTCTGGAAAGAGAAGTTGTAACATTACCGGCAATTTGCCGGAATGCTGCTCTGTGTGAATGCAGAAGGAAGATTGCCGTAATAAGCGCGTGCACGTCTAGAACGTGCTGACGTGAGACGTCTGCTTTAGCCAATCACAACAGTCAGACGCATTCACGTCCGCGCGGTTTGTGAGGATAAAAGCCTTTGAATATTTTTCCAGACACATTTAGCTGCTAGAAGTTAGTCAGATCACGTTTATATGTTCTTCTTAATGCCAACTGTGTAAATAATCATCGATGAGATGCTTATGATAAGCCGTTGTTTGTTTACCTTCAAGCTTTGCGTGTGCCTGTGAAACAGCCTGTGAGCGCCTGCACACGCACATATTATGAACATCTCGACATGCGAAAGTGATCCTGCGAAAGTTGTTCACAAGATTGATCATCCACAGAGTTTGTAATTTAGTCAAATGTTTACAAACACAAGCGCAGCCGTTTAAAGCTCATTTGTGGTGAATGATGTCAGAATTTACCGGTATTTTGGAATGGATGTGTGAATGCTCTTTTCCGGAAAATTTCCGTAACGTCCTCGCCTGTGTGAACAGCGCTTTTTTGAATATACCGGTAAAGTCGTTCCGGAAATTTTCCAGATATTTACCGGTATCACTGTGTGAAAGGGGCTTATGTCCCTCCAGCGTGTCCTGGGTCTTCCCCGAGGCCTCCTCCCGGTTAGACATGCCTGGAACACCTCCCTGGGTAGGCATTCAGGAGGCATCTGAAACAGATGCCTGAGCAACGACTCCTGGGTGACAGAGCTCTTCACCCTATGTATAAAGGTGCTCTCTGCCACCCTGTCAAGGAAACTCATTTCGGCCGCTTGTATCCAAGATCTTGTCCTTTTGGTCATGACCCAAAGCTCATGACCATAGGTGAGAGTAGGAACGTAGATTGACCGGTAAATTGAGAGCTTTGGCTCCATCAGCTCCTTCTTTACAACAATGGACAGGTACATCGACCGCATTACTGTTGCCTCTGCACCAATCCGCCTGTCAATCTCACGTTCCATCCTTCCCTCACTCGTGAACAAACCTCAAGATACTTGAACTCCTCCACCTGGAGTAAGGACTCTCCTCCAACCTGGTGTTGGCGAACCAGCTTCTTCCAGTGATTTTCAGTTTTTCCTGGATTGGGACAACATGAATGAATTAAGTTAACTTATTAGTTTCTACCAGGCACGTGCACACATAGGGCTCAACCTGTGCAGTGCACATGCCCTTTTTAGTCGTGGATATAAAGTGCCCTTTAAAAATGATTAAAAGTGCCCCCGCGACGCGACACACCCTCCGTCCCGCCCTTCAGTAGGCGCGCGACAACACCACTCTTGAGTACGCGCGCTCAACTCACCCCCTCCCCCCGCTTTACAGTACGCGCGCGACAACACAGCTGATCAGAACGCGCGCGACAACACCGCTCTTCAAGAAAGCACATGCACATGCCCTTTGGACGGTCTCTGCACGGGCCTGGTTTCTACAAATATAAGTGAATTAAACATGAAACAAACAAAAGTAAACTCCACAATTCTGTTACTTCTGTTCTTAAATCAGTAGTTTCAACAAACAGCAAACATATACTTTTTGGTGTAGTAGGAAAAGCAAATACTATGAAAGAAAGTTACAGGTTTTCAGCATTATTCAAAATATCTTCTGTGTTCATCAACTCATAAAGGTTTGACACAAGTAAAGGGTGAGTAAACGATGACAGAATTTCTCATTTTTGCGTGAACTAACCCTTTAACTTACTAGCTGAAGAGACGGGTTGGTTTTCCTCACACACACACACACAGATGTCAGGATGTGTTTCGCCTTTGTGTTGTTTCTCAGTGCTGATGAAAACACCCCATGAGTCCACACCGTCCTACAGCTTTCCGTAATTTAAGATTTTATAATGTGTTCGAAAAAAGGTTCTTGTGTTCGTCATTAAAAAGTGTGTAATTAATAGGGGTGGGAATTCCTACTATCCGATATCATGTGCCACAATACAATATTATTATGATTTAAACACCTTGCAGAATTGTGTGTAATATTGTTCTTCAGATTACAGATTCAGATTCAGCTTTTGTTTTTATTGAGTTCTTTTAAATGATCTGCATACACAGTTGTGTTTCCATCCACCTATTATTATGCACATTTTTGAAATATTCATTCATTCATTCATTTTCTTGTCGGCTTAGTCCCTTTACTAATCCAGGGTCGCCACAGTGGAATGAACCGCCAACTTATCCAGCAAGTTTTTATGCAGCGGATGCCCTTCCAGCCGCAACCCATCTCTGGAAAACATCCACACACATTCACACACACACACTCATACACTACGGACAATTTAGTCTACCCAATTCACCTGTACCACATGTCTTTGGACTGTGGGGGAAACCGGAGCACCCGGAGGAAACCCACGTGAAGGCAGGGAGAACATGCAAACTCCACACAGAAATGCCAACTGAGCCAGCCAAGGCTTGAACCAGCGACCTTCTTGCTGTGAGGCGACAGCACTACCTACTGCACCACTGCCTCGCACATTTTTGAAATATCGAATTAAAAATGATTCATTTAAATGACAAGATGCTCGTAAATTTTATTAAATAATTAAATAATAATAATGTTATTAAAAAATATATACACAACTAAGTAAGGTAAACTTTTTATCTAATGAGAAAAACACATAAACTATGACGAAAACACATTTACTGAAATAAATTGTGCATTAAAAGTGATGTAATTTTCTTATAAGTGGTCATGTGATGATAAACTGTTTGTGATAGGACGACGCAATCTCATAGCAATTCGTAACTTTTTGATTCAGTGGCTAATTCGTATAAACTCGTAAAATTTAGCACGATTTGCTCATCCCTCAATGACAGTTGGGGTTAGGGGTGGGGTTGGGTGCCACGCCTCCTTTTTAAAATCGTAAAATTTCATACGACGGAACTTGTACGAATTTGCCACTAAACTGACAAAACATAAAATACTTACGTTTCCTCGTGAGATCAGGCTGGATGGGACACATTAGTGGACTTTGCAGGTTTTCCAGCACATTGTAAAACATCTGAAATTTTGTTTTTGTTTCTAAAACCTGTCAGTCCGCAATCACAGTCCTTCCGTATTATTATTATTATTCTGTCTTGAGTATCTGTCTGTGCTCGCAAAGAGCGTCTCACACCTCCAAATGCCACTGCAATCACTGCGCTCATTGCGTTGTGTCTTCTGAGGCGCAACTCATTTATTAAAGAAAGGAAAACCACCACAGTGGCAAATCGCAATGCACTAAACTACATTTCTCTGGCTGATATTTGCTCCAGTTTATCAGGAAGCCGGGTTCATACGCTCATGGAAAACCTGGTTTTTAGTTTTTACATGGCATTTTCCAGGCCTGGAAAAGTTTTGGAAAAACAGAAAAACCCACAAGATTTTGGAAAAATCATGGAAATTACATTTATATTAGTCATTTAGCCGGACGATTTTTTTTTTTTCCAAAGCTGCGGTCACACTAGAGATTGTGCTTACGAAATTCTGTCGTAAGGCGCTGAAAAGGTTTGGTAATAAACAATATGATTAGACGTCAATAAAAGTGAGCAATTGCTCCATGTTTTAAATTTTATTTCATTAAATTATCTTCTATTGGTCTACCGTGATCACCTGATGCGATTTCGCAGGTAAGAATTCACTAAGCTTGAACTTTCGAATGCAGTGAAATGCAAAACTTGTCACACGTCATGAAAATTGACTTGAAAGTCCTGAAAAAGTCCTGGAATTTCTGTAGTAAAAATGCTTATGAACCCAGAGGAAGTGATGCTTTTGTCCTCTTTTGTTTCTTGTTGGATGGAAACGCTGCTTTATTCGCAAATGTTTTATGCGATATTACAGTTTTGTGGATAAATTAATTCACAGCTTTGGATGGAAACACAGCTAGTGTACGTTATTACACCTAGCAAGCACATTAATGGGGAGGCTGTAACG